ATATAAAGTATATATATAATATATACATACAGTATAAGTAAATGTAATTTATTGACTGTCTATAGTTTAAAACTGAAAAATTCTCAAATGTTAATATAATTTATTGACATCAAACTTGGTGTGTCTCACACCGTCCTATCTTGATTCATGACTAATATTAAAATTCAGAATTAGCAGTCTTTTTATAGGTGATTTCTGCACATTTCCCGTCCCCTTGGCATATTGGTGTTCATCCAATCGAATGGTTACAGTCAAATACGCTGGTTATCCAGGTCATGATCAATCAAATCAATGTTTTTAACTCTTTTTTTACAGTGAAATAGTCAATCTAACCAATCCTGTCTACATTAAACTCCACCCACACTCCAAGAACCTCCTGTTTAGTGACTGCAGAGGCCCCTTCTCCAACCAACCAGTGGTGTGAGCATTATGGTGGACGGTCTGTGTGATGGACTGGTGACTGGTCCAAGGTGTACTCTGCCTCTCGGCATGTCTTTGCTGAAGCTCCAGCTCACCCTGACTGAAAGTGAGTGAGGCAGAGGGATGCTGTGCCTTTATTTGACTTGTTTTTTTTGCTTTAAGTGTTGGTTTTTTATTTGTCAGCAAATAACATCCAGTTTGATTAGATGATTCGTTCTGCAACTGCAGAATATTTTTACCTTTTTGTGCACTCCAAAACTCCTGGGTGTCTCCCACAGAATAATTTAGGTTCATTGTCCATCTGTTCTGTGAAGCACTGTCCATTTAGGTTTGCTGCTTAAGGCTGAATTCATGCTGACGCTGTATTCCTGTACACTTAGGAATTAATTCTGAATATTCTGCTCGTTTGTTTCTTGTCACACTGACAATAATCGCTAATGTGACTGGAAGCCAAGCATGGCCACGCCATTATGATTCCTCTACTTGTTTTACAGAGGTTTCTTGTGCATGTCAAATYACAAGCTTTTTCCAAGCCGTCTGCCTACTTCACTCTTTGTTGTTCATCTTGTTCTTTGCTTTTAGATTATTATTTCCCAAAAGTCCATTTCCAAAACTTTTTTATTAACAATGTTTTTGGCAAAGTTTAATTTAATCTTTCTTTTCTTGAGGCTAGCTGATCATGTGTATCTGTGGTGATGCAGTTGTTTGCTCTTTTCTGTACAAATGGTATAACTTGATTTGATGAAATTATACCACATAAAATGGGAATGATTTTGATTGAATAAGATGTTATAATGTTGGATTTTAATTGAACCCACTTATTACGTTTATACACTTACTTAAAATAGCCTTTGCTATTTATTGGTGCTGTTAAATAAACTAAAGTGAACTGAAAAGGGAATTTTTTTTTTCTGAGCAAGAAATCAAAAATGTTTCCGGCATTTTTTCTTTTTTTCTTTTTTATTGTCTAAATATAGCCTCTTTCACATTTAGCTGTCCTTAGACTGCATGTTTTGGATTCACATCTTACAAAAGACACTTAAAACTTAATTAGGTCACTTCATGAGAAATTGCAGTAGGATTGCAGAAGCCGCTTGTCCCTTGTCACTCGCACGCTCCTAAAAGGTTCAAACTCAATTTATCAGAGTATGTGTAGATTAAGCAGAGATTAGAGAARCTGCTGTTGACCAAAATGCTCATCAGTTTTCGAGATCCAGTTGCCATGGTTAGGGCCAACATCTTCTCTGACTCCAACTGAAAATTCACCAGAACTTTGTCTTAACTGTTGTTTCCAGAAAAGTTATACCTCCTACTAACACGGCTTTTTATGTCAGTATGCGCACCATAAGGCATCTTTGCACACTCGAGTATATTTATGTTTGTGCTGTAAAAACTATGAATATATGAGCTTGTTAAAAGCAGACAAACTTTAGTGTTCTGGTAAAAGAAATAAAAAGTGCTCTAGTTTCTCTTGGAGTTTAAAGGGCAGGTTTTGTTAGTCATTTGTAAAGTTTCCAGGTCCAAAATACTGTTTTAAAATCTATTTGTTTGGTGTTGCATTTTTATAAAGCAAATATGATTTTCTTTCTATGTATTATAT